GTTAAGGTTTAATTCTATCATTTTTAAAATTTTACATTTAATTATTAGAAATATATAATTGTAATAATATTATATTATACAATTTCTATTAAATTAACTAAACAACTCTCTCCACTGATCCTCAATTTCAAAATCGACTTAAACAAAATACAAGAATAACTTTACCAACAGCATAGAAAACATACGTCAACTCATTAAGAAAAAAGGTTCAGCACAGCAAGACAATATAAACTTCTTAAAGCAGCAACTAGTTTAAAGACTAAACAAGAGCAATACAAACAACTTTATGAAAAATTTGATAAAAAATTTTGTTGAAAAAGTGGATATTTATCTCTTTCATATTCACAGTCGAACACTACCTCTACCCAGCAATTTCCTTTTCTGAAACATTCTTCTACTTCTTTAATATATTTGTTTTCTCTAAGTAATCTTCTGACATACTCAGCACGTTCTTTTGCTGAGTTACCTGGAAGACTGTATATTAGCACCTTTGCTATAAAGGATTGACCTTCTTTACAAATTCTGTTCTCTGGTGACCATATACTTTGTTCTATCGTGGCTGTAAGAATTGGTGTTTTATTTTCTGTTTCTTGTCTATTAGCAATCATTGAGTTATTACGTTTAAGCTCTACTTGTTGTGTCTTGATTACATCCCTCAGGATGCTGTCAACTGGAGCTTTTTCGACCTTTTTAATCTTCTTTCCTCTTGATGTTAAACTTTCTGTATTTTGATCTCTTGATGTAGTCTTTATATCTTCAATATACAGATTATTTGCTGGGAGGTATATGAAATTATCTCCTAACATACTGTTTATTTCTTCAATTATATAGCGATTAGGTGTTTCTTGTTGATTTGGTTTGATGCTTAGGTCTTGAAGTTGTTCAGCCACATGGTCTATATCTTTATTTGTTTCTTCTTCATCTTCTGATGATCTTCTTTTCTTTGGTTCTGAAAACTGAGGCTTTTCAGCTGGACCTTTTTTTTTGATCATTATCTTCCATCGAGTAATGTAGCACTTTTTAAAAGTGACCCATAAGCTGACCATAATATAGTTTTTTATGCATACGTTGGTGAACCTGATCTTCTTGAATATTATTAAAATGTTTAGGAATAGGATAAGTTTTCTGCAAAATATCACTATGTGAACTTTTTAAACTTTTAGATGATGTTTCAATAAAAGGCTCATTAGAAGCCAATTCAACTTTATTCCAAATACTGTCTTGAAACCACCGTGTTGGCATCAGCATTATATGAAATAATGTATTTGAATTTTTCACCATTAGTTTAAAATAATACCGACAGATAGTTTCATACAAAACTAACAGTAAATATGTATATAAATGTATTCTATCCATAAGAAGAATAATATGTTGATATGAATATGTAGCTATATAAGAAACAATTCGTCACACTTCTTGAATTGATTCCTTTGGAACTGAGTCTATTAGTGTTTTTAAATATGCCTGCCGATAATCATAATAGTCTTCAACATTTGCAATATTTTCATTATCCTGATCATCTACTAATGATATCTCATCTTAAAATTCATAAAATACATATTATTAATATATTGCATAATATATACTAACACTAATTATAATACTAAACTAATTTTAACTCTAAAAACCTAAAAAAATCTTAAGGATCTTCTATAGTATAGGTGGGTAGACCCCCACACTTGATCTATAGTATAGGTGAGCAAAACTCCGAAGTATGTGATAACTATAAAGGATGTGATATTAACGAAAATTAACTAATGCGATGTTCGATAATCAAATTTTTTATTGAAATACAAACTCAAACTAAAGTGTATATAAATATAGTATATATATTTTTTTTTTTCACACTTTTCATTTTTTCTTGCTTTTAAATTAAGTGGTTATTTCAGAGAATTAAATATTTATATCTTTTTTTTAAATAAAATCTTTTCTAATAGGCAATGTAATTTTGGATTTGCTATAAAACAGCATAAGTATAACTAAGATAAAAAAAGTCATTTAATAGTATTTGAACTTTGCAGATTTATACTCATTTAAATTAGGCACGTTGAATTTTGAATAAGCATTTTTTAGTTGGTGCTGTTAATTTCAGGTAGGGCCTATTTAATGAATCGGCTTTTTTTTTTTGAATAAATTGTTCAACTTTCCACTTGGTTTAAATTAGGCGTTATAAGCTTTGGGTGAGGTCTATTTAATGAATCGGCTTCTTCTTTTTTTGAATAAGTTGTTCAACTTTCTACTTGTTGACTAGAGAAATAAATTTTCCTCAAGAATCTTAAGAAACCGAAAAACTATTTGAGCCTGAATCAAAGACTCGTAATATTCCTGAACAAAAACTAGAACCTGTAAAAAAATTAGAAGAAGAGCTTAAGAAAGAAGCAGTCAAAGAAAAAAAATCTTGGTAATGAAGCATATAAAAAATGAGAGTTTGAAACAGTATTACAATATTATAATAAGGCTTGAGAGTTGAATCCTACTAATATTTCTATTCTGACTAATAAGGCAGGTAAGTTAAGGTTTAATTCTATCATTTTTAAAATTTTACATTTAATTATTAGAAATATATAATTGTAATAATATTATATT